ACCTCACTTCATACAAAAGTGTTATCTCTTCAAATTATATCACATAATTATAAATTCATTGTATCACATGATTATAATTTCATTGTATCACATAATTATAAATTCATTTACCAAATATTTCCGTTAAATCAAATGTACTACAAACATTATAATAAACATAGATCTATGAAACTTCCTATTGATGCAAAAATTAACCTATGCCAATTCCTTAAGTCACACAACTTGGACCTCGATGCCACAGTCAAAACTCCGCCAACATGGCCGTCACATTATTTGAATTCTTATTATACTGACTCCTTCCAATAAATTTCATTACAATGTCCCAGGTTCCCACACAGTTCAAGTTCCATTCACTTATAGATAGGTCAATCAGAGTATAAGTACACACACACACACACATACACGCACACATACATATATATATATTTATATAGACATATATATATATATATATATATATATATATATATATATATATATATATATATATACATATACATATATATATATATATATATATATATATATATATATATATATATATATATATATGTATATATATATATATATATATATATATATATATATATGTATATATATATACATACATATATATATATTCATACATATATATAAACAGACAGAGACACAGACACACACACACACACACACCCACAAACACACACTTGTGTGCTTGCTTCACTCTTTCTTTAAGTGCTCAATTTTTGAAAGTATAATTGGTGAGCGAGTTTAGGAGTATAAGATTTCACAAACGAAGAGAGAAAACAAAAGAAAAAGAAAAAGTTTCCCTAATGATGGAATCAGTATCAGCACAAAGTGTACATAATAACTTTCGCGTGTTGTCTTATCAAAACCGTCATCTTAGAGGGTTTTACATCGAATACCTGTGTCTGCCAACCTCTGCTTATATGGGCCACGGTACAGATTGCTTTCATAAATCTTTTCATGTATTGCAGCCAAATATCATATAATTCTTTTCAGTACCACCAAACACATACTTATGATAATAATAATAATAATGATGATGATAACATTGCTGCTGCGGAGAATGGTAACAATAATGATAAAACAATGCACTTATGATAGTGATGACAGTAGTGTTTTCACGTGACGTCACCAATCTAGCGTCGGCCATATTGGAGACATTGGAGCAGTGATTCCCAACCGGTGTGCCGCGGCACCTTGGGGTGCCGCGAGATCAGATAGGGGTGCCGCGAGATTCGCGATTCAAGGATATCAAGGGCAGAAGTGTTGGCTATAGGATGGAAAAATATATTCATATGAAACATTAGCCAACGGGTTAGGCTGAGGGCGATGGGTATGCGGGCATTGACTTTTGTATTCGCCTATGCCGTGTATGTGTGTGTATTTGACATTGATTGTGTAAACCTATTTCAATGTCTTTACGCTTTACTTACTTTGGTTTTCATTTGCCTTTCAGAATTGAGCTAATGACACTATGGACAAGTTTATTGTAAAGAAACGTAAACTCCAGGACAGTGAAGGTGAGGTAGCGGCTTCAACTTCTGGGTCTAATTTGAACATTGAAGTTTCTCCCCGCCCGTCTAGTTCAAAAGATGACAAAAAAGACCAGGTTTCTTGTTCTAAGAAAAGGACATACTTAGATTGTTACTTATCGTATGGATTTTCCTGGAACAATAACGATGATAACCCTCGTCCAGTATGTGTAGTCTGTGGGGAAACACTGAGCAATGAAGCCATGGTACCCAGCAAGCTGAAGCGGCATCTTAGTACCAAACACCCTGGTGTGTCACAGAAAAGTTCATCTTATTTTTCACGTCTACTAGAGGGGCAGACAAAAGCATCTCATAAAATGATTAAAAGAGTCACCATAGCTGACACTGCACTTGAAGCTTCTTTCAAAATTGCAGAACTGATAGCTACAAAAATGAAGCCTCACACCACTGGAGAGGAGATTATTGGCCCTGCATGCAATATTATAGTTGAAACAATGCTTGGCCAAGAAGCTAAAGATCAGGTTTCAAAAGTTCCCCTCTCCAACAATACAATCAGTCGTAGGATATCTGAGATGTCGGTCAATATAAACGAAAAAGTCATTGAGAAAATTAAATGTAATAATAAATTTGCTTTACAGATAGATGAGAGTACGGACGTTACTGGAAAATGTCAGCTACTTGGATTTTGCAGGTTTATTGATGATAATGAGATTATTGAGCAATTTTGGTTTTGTAAAGAGTTGGAAACTACAACCACGGGCCAGGATATTTTCGCTAATGTTACATCCTATCTCACTGATCATGGCCTTTCATGGAAAGACTGTTGTGGTATATGTACTGACGGTGCACCATCAATGATAGGCAAATATAAAGGTTTCACCACAAAAGCATTGGAGAAAAATCCGTCCATGATAATAACTCACTGTTTTTTACATAGAGAAGCGTTAGTAGCGAAAACTTGCAGTGAAGAGTTGAATGAAGTATTGAGCCAGGTTATCAGAATGGTAAACTTCATCAAGGCTAGACCATTAAAGTGTAGACTTTTTGAAAAAATATGTCTGGAAATGGGTGCAGATCATGTCTCACTATTATTACATACAGATGTAAGGTGGTTGTCTCGAGGACGTGTGCTAAACCGAGTTCTTGAACTCAAAGAACAATTAATTGCCTTCTTCACCAGTGAAAAACAGGACACATTTTATAAGCTGCTTCAAAATTATGATTGGTGCTTGAAACTTTCATACTTGGCAGATATTTTTAACAAACTTAACGAACTTAATCTTTCCATGCAAGGACGACTAGAAACAATAGTTTCGTCAACTAACAAAATGAAAGGTTTCAGGCGCAAACTAAGTTCTTGGGAGTCTGCCGTTCAAAAGGGGGATATGGAAAACTTTCCCTCTCTTCTTCATCTCGCAAAAGATAATGAGTTAAGAATTCCGAAAACCCTCATTCTGAACCACTTGGTAACACTGCAAGATGCAGTGGATAAGTACTTTCCATCTCTTTCTACCAATAATCTTGATTGGATTGTATCACCATTTCAATTGGCAGATAATGTGGAGGAACTAGATTTCACAGCTAGTGAAAGAGACGAATTCATTGATCTGTGTGCTGATTCCACACTCAACGTTAAATTTGACAAGAGTCAGACATCAGTGGCTGTTTTCTGGCTTGGACTGGCGGATGAGTATCCTGACTTGGTGAAAAAAGCCACAAATCTACTTTTGCCCTTCTCCACTTCGTATTTGTGCGAACAAGCATTTTCAGCTATGGCAACAATAAAATCCAAAGCAAGAAATAGACTCCTTAGTCTTGAGAGTGATATGCGTGTTGCGCTGTCAGCTATTAGGCCTGACATCAAACGACTGTGTTCTAATCATCAATCACAAGTTTCGCATTAATCGTACAATTTATTATTCTTTGACAGTTGTGTTTGTATGCTCATTTTATTTCTCACAGGTGAAAGGTGTTCTTTTTAAACTGCGTTCATGTATATGTATTACAGTTTTTCTAAAATCAGTAGTGTAGTACTGTAAAACGGGATGATTTTGATACAAGCTGGAAAACATGTTAATAAGCTGATGTCACCAGGAAACATCTTTTCCAGTTGGGTCAAAGTTACCCCTGGAGTCCAAAGTAAGTAAAATATGCTTAGTCTGAAGGGTGATATGTACATGTTGTCAGCTATTAGGCTTGACTTCAACCGTGTGTTCTGATTGAATTCTAATAAAAAATTGAAAAATGTGTATACATATTGTTTTACTAGACTAGAGATTAAGTCATAAGGCCGTTAAGCAACTTCAATACAAAAGTGAAAACGATTCAAAAATTTCTAACAAGGGTACCCCAAAATTCTGATCGCCCCCAAAGGGTGCCTCGAACCTAAAAAGGTTGGGAATCCCTGCATTGGAGGGAGACGTATGCTCAAACATTCGCGTAGATTCGCGAAGTTCGTTGGCAAAAAGGTGAATTACTGTCGTGTCTATGACTGTCATAGTAGGTAAGATCGAAAATCACACCTTCAATTTTATAGATTGCCCGAGATAATTCGAAACCAAGGAGAAAATATTCTGAAATTGAGCGAGATCTGAGATCAACCCTAAAATGGTAATGTATCTCTCTCTCTCTCTCTTTCTCTCTCTCTCTCTCTCTCTCTCTCTCTCTCTCTCTCTCTCTCTCTTCTCTCTCTCTCTCTCTCTCTCTCTCTCTCTCTTTCTCTCTCTCTCTCTATCTGTCTATCTATCTATCTGTCTCCCTCTATTTGTGTGTGCTCTTCGTTTCAGTTGAAGACAAGAACCTTGATGTGAGCGTAAATATATTTTCCCAAAACCTTTAGAATATTCTTGGGAGAAACGTCTTTTTTATGTCACTATTGGACAAAAAAGGCTGAAAAAAAACTTGTTTGAATACGTGTGTCTGAAAGAGTTTGTAAATGGTCAGGCCGGTGTGTAAAAAAAAAAAAAGTAAATCAGAAGAGAATACAAAAAAAAAAGAAAAAAAAATACGGGGAAAAGAGGGAAACAGACAGCGAAGGATCATCTTGATAGACCTTTTGTGGCGCACCTTGCCAGGCCGTTGTACAAATCCCTTTTCCCTCAGATAAATCCCGGCGCCTCGTTTGTATTCCGCGCGATTCCAGGCGCGGACGCAGATGGTCTCGTCCTCCTTCCTCGTCGCTCCGCGAAACGCACATACATACGTACACATACACACGCACACACACACGCATATATATATATATATATATATATATATATATATATATATATATATATATATATATATATATATATATATATATATGAAGAAACCATAGGCCACACACACACACACACACACACACACACACACATATATATATATATGTATATATATATATATATATATATATATATATATATATATATATATATATATACATATATGTATATAAATATATATATATATATATATATATATATATATATATACATATATATATATATATATATATATATATATATATATATATATATATATATATATGCATACACACGTGTGTGTGTGTGTATAGATATGTGTATGTGTTTTGGGGATCAGCCCATTGTTTTTGTGCCAACAATATTGCATAGAATGTATCACATGTATTTGTGTGTGAAAAATGAAAGAGAGTGAGAACTAAATTCGAGTAGCGAGTTTTTATATACACTGTGTGTCTCTCTCTCTTCTCCTCCTCCTCGCCCCCCCCCCCCATCTCTCTCTCTCTCTTCTCCTCCTCGCCCCCCCCCCTCTCTCTCTCTCTCTCCTTCTCTCTCTCTCTCTCTCTCCCTCTCTCCATCACTCACTCCCTTCTTCTACCCCTCTCCCCCTCTCCTATCTATCTACGACTCCTCTTTCTTTTCTCCTTTATTTGTTTTTTTTTGTTTTTTTTTTTCCAATCGTACGAGTTTCGTGTCACATCCTTCAACACTATCTTCTCAGCATCAGAGTCAACCGAAAAATAAACTTCCTCTTTGGCGTATTTTGATTTCCTTTTGGTCCATTTTCTCCTTCGAATTCCCCGTCGTCTTCGCTCTTATTGTGTCCTGTTGACGGCGGTGTCTCTCCTGCCGGGGATTTGGGCTTTGGGGTGGGGGTGGGGGCGGGGCTTTCTTTGGCTAATTGTAGGTCTCGATTTCGACTTTTTTTTGTTAGCTTTTCTTTCTTTCTTTCTTTTCTCTCGATTTTTCTCTGTCTTCCGTCTATGTCTTTGTTTATTTCACTTTCTTGATTTATTTCTCTCCCTTTCTCTCTCTCTCTCTAACAAACACACACTTTTTCTTTCTCTCTTTCTACTCTGTCTCTCTTTCTCTTTCTCTCTCTCTCTCTTTCTCTCTATGTCTGTCTCCCTGCTTTTACTTTTCTTTTTATATTTCATTCTCTCCAAGGCTGCGCCGCAGTTCTGGAACTTTGAAGCGTATTTTCCTCTCCACTCTTCACACGACAGTTACTTCCTGCCTCCGCGAAGAGTCCCTTTAGTATAACTTCATCACGATTAACATTTTCCGTTTGGCTACAGAGACGGCTTTTAGTAAGTTTGCGGTTTGTTGAATTTCACACACACACACATACACACACACAGACACACACACAGATACAAACACACACAGATACAAACACACACACACACACACCTACGCGGTCATCACCCATTTATTATCACCATCATCAACATCACTATTCGTATCATCATTATATATCACCATTGTCCAATTTAGTTTACTCAATTAATTATTTTATTTTATTTATAATTTATGTGTGTATGTGTGTGTCTGTGCATGTGTGTGTGTGAGTATCTGTATATACTTACAAGATGCAATAATGCAGCAACGCATTGACATAAATAAATTAATCAGATGTAGCGTATTTCTATTTCTTGATCGAGTCATATTAATACCGGTGTTGTTAATGATAACAGAATGAAAATGGACAATAATAAAAGTCAGTGACCTCACGTGTAGTAAAGTTTATAAAGCATATAGAACATAAAATAAGTCATTAATCGCATAAAACCAAGTCCGTCAGTCACCAACCTCAGCCAAAGCACCGGTAAAGGAAATCAAATTTAACCTTTTCCTTTCTGATTTCTCTGTTCATCCGATTAATGATTAGTCGTCTCCCTCCCTAAGCTTAGCACGTGATCTCTGACAAAAGATAATCGGAACTGACTGAATTTACACCGGGTTGTGGGATCCAGTATTAATCTAAAGACATGGTTGATTTCATCGTCATTCGTTGGGGGAATAAACTCTTTTTTTTTCAGTCTTGTTCTTGTTCTATATGAAAATATTTGTGGTAAATGTTTATTTTTGACAGTGGTAATTAAATGTTTTTTGTGTGTTTGTGTAGTAGTTGTTACTGTTTTTTTCCTCTTCTTCCTTTATTTTTATTTGAAAAAAAAAGAAAGAAAGGTATTTATTAACAGAAATGCCCTCTCCCCCCTCTTACTGACTCTCCTTTCATGTAATTTCGCGGTCGTAATTTCTGAGATAGAGCTTTCCGATTCGATTTGGGAACAGAAGAGACACGACTCCTGCTCTGGTAGAAGCCACTTGTAATTTTCTGTGTGGCATATTTTTAGAAAATTGTTCTTTTTACATTCCTCTATTCCTAAAAATGATCCCTAATTGTATATTCCGAGGCTGGGAATTTGAAAGTGTGTGGGTAGGAGTGATAATTCAGTCAGATGTCATTCTGAGTACAGCCATGATCTATATATAGCCTGGAAGGGACTTCTCTCTCTAGCACAGTATTTACGATCCCTGTATAGTATAATCATATCTAAAGGTCACTTTCAAATAAGTAAAATCTGCCAAGTTGCACGATCCCACGTCAGCTCGACTGACAACCAGTTAAGAGTCTGCAATAATGCTATCAAATGTCAAACGAGAATTGCATCATCGATGTGATCTACATCCTGCTTGCACCGAATCATCGTCATTTTCTATCCGTCTGCTTCGTTCCATCATGTTTGTCGCACAGGAAAATCTAAGACCACTGTCCTCCATATTCCTCTCCTTGCCCTGATAATACTATTGATTGTGTTCTTGTTCGTGTATTACAATGCATGATTGTTATTATCATTATTTTCTATATTTCTTTATGTTTTACAAGGGTAATGGTAGTTTTAATATAAATAGTAGTAATAGTGGTAGCAGTTTTAGTAGTAGTACTAATAGTAGTAGCAGTTTTAGTAGTAGTAGTAGTAATACTAGTAGCAGTTGTAGCAATAGTAATAGTAGTAGTAGTAGTAGTAGCAGTAGTAGTAGTAGTAGTAGCAGTAGTGGTAGTAGTAGTAGTAATGTTAGTAGTAGTAGTAGTAGCAGTAGTAGTAGTAGTAGTAGTAGTAGCAGTTGTAGCAATAGTAATAGTAGTAGTAGTAGTAGCAGTAGTAGTAGTAGTAGTAGCAGTAGTGGTAGTAGTAGTAGTAGTCGTAGTAGTAGTAATGTTAGTAGTAGTAGTAGTAGTAGCAGTAGTAGTAGTAGCAGCAGTAGAATGAGTAATAGCAGTAAAACTTTAATTGCAGCATTCTTTTGGTTTGAGATCTCCAGAGTGAGGCCACAAAACCTATGCTTTTGTCTTTAGACTAGCACAGGATCGTAGCCTTCTGCCTTCAGTGTATAAAAAAAATCAAGGACACTAGAAAGCCTTGTAATTCCACGCAATAGTTGTTGTAAAGTACTCTTTTTACAATTAACAATTACTGTTAAACTATTGGTTCGCGAAAGTCAACGAATACAGTCAGCCAACACGAGTGAGGAAGCAATGGAAAGGTGTATTTAATGACCACTAGTTATGCAGTTGTTGCGGAATAATTACATGTCGTCCCAGCAACCTCTTTTTCTGGGTGCGTTAGACAGACGGTTGTTAAAGAGGGCTGCAG